GAGAAGAGGGATGTTGAGCAAGGGCATTCTCCACAATAACGCTCGCCCCCATGCTGCCCGACAAACCGTCGCTCAACTGCAACAGTTTGGATGGAACATCATCACCCATCCACCCTATAGTTCGGACTTGGCGCCCAGTGACTACCATCTCTTTCCAAAGTTGAAAGAACATTTGTCTGGTAAGCGTTTCAACAACGACAATGAGGTGAAAGCTGAGGTTCAAAATTTCCTGAACAGCATGGAGGTGAACTGGTATGACATGGGCATACAAAAACTGCCACTGCGCCTACAAAAATGCATTGACCGAAATGGCGATTATGTAGAGAAATGAGTACATGTTCAAGATTCAACTGATGTATCCAAAATTGAAAATAAATGTTTATTTTATATTTTCAAACATAGGAGACCTTACTTTTGGAATTACCCTCGTACATGAAAAGTCCTTGCACTGTCAGAAAATTGGAGTCTGGTGTGCTGTATCACATCGTTGAATAGTGGGCCCAATTTTCTCTGAAACAACAGTGAACAGTCCAGTGTACCAAGACGACATTACACAGTTTAATGCGCTTCTTGAAGTTGATGAACGTGAGTGTTGGTTGCAGCAAGACGGTGCCACATGTCACACATCTAATGAAACCATGCAGTTCTTGTGTGAATTTTTCAGTGACCGTCTCATTTCGAAAGGACCATGACGCCCACGTTCACCCAATTTGTCACCCGCAGATTTTTTCCTTTGGGGGTGTCTGAAAGGAATTGTCTATAAAAACAATCTGCATACACTGGATGACCTCAAGAGGAACATTACGACGGTGATTATCAGCACCGGTTTGCTCCACAAAGTGGCCTCAAACATGGTAAAAAGAGCTCACACATGAATTGCTGAACAGGGAAGCCATTTCGAGCATTTGTTGTAAAGACATGATTTGATTTTACATTTCGAAGATGTAAGGTTATAAACATTAACAGTAAGTGCTGTATGTCTTGTAGTTTGCGCATTAAACCAGCAAACTATAATTGCTTAGTGTGACGTGCGCGACTTCTTGATCTCCCTGTATATTTAAATCATTTTGGGTTAATAGGCATACCACTTAGAATGAGTATATTTATAAATTTGTAAACTATCATTATATCAAAGTTACACTGTATTGCTGTCACATGACACTGACTAAACACACTGTTTGGTTTGGTAGCTGGATTTATTGGATGCTGAACCATTTTATTTACAAATAATCAGAGAGTACACAAGTTTGCACTATCATTTAATAATCCATTTCATCACTTCTATCTGTTAACTCTGTCATCACAGACAAGTTGCCAGGATTCAAGCTCTGATAATGGGGACTCCCTGTGTTAGCTTGCAGGCTATCTATACATTGCTTTGCTGCAAACTGCTGTGAGCACACATGGTTGTTGGGATTTGTCACAGTACACATATGTGGGTGTCATGACTGGTCCTTGATGTTGCCTAGCAATGGATGCTTCTGCTACATTTTTCAAATTCCAAGGCACTGAATTTTAAGCATCATGTCACAATACTCTATGTATACATGAGTTTCAAGGTGTCACAGTTGCCAGATGACACAGTAATTACTATTGTGGTGATTACTTAGAACATCGTCCATGGTATGTATGCTGTGTCCGTCTTGTAGTGCACTCAATTTCACCTGTTATTCCACAACATGTTTCGGCAACATAGTGCCATCATCAGGTGCTCCATTTATGCTAATCTACTGCATTGCTTGCCATTATGTCATTGTAAAATTATTTAAAAAGTATTTAAAAATATTCGTCATTTATAATACATTTTTATACACTAAAATCTTGTTAAGATATTCATCTTATTTGTCCCAATTCAAACCCGCGCATGGTTCCTCACTATGGGAGTCGTTCCTCTTATACTCCGTGTATATCATGTCTCGTGATGTGTTTCCTTTTTGGGTGTGGGTGTGGAACGACTCCCATAGTGGAGGAACCATGCGTGGGTTTAAATTGGGACAAATAAGATGAATATCTTAAAAAGATTTTAGTGCATAAAAATTTATTATAATTGATGAATATTTAAAATAATTTTACAATGACATAATGGCAAAGCAATACAACAGATTAGCGTAAATGGAGCACCCGATGATGGCACTATGTTGCCGAAACATGTTGTGAAATAACAGGTGAAATTGAGTGCACTACAAGACAGACACGGCAAACATATAATGGACGAAAATCAGTGCAACAGGACACTAAAATACAACATTATGAATACTTAGAACATTATTAGTGCTAACACTGAAGATATCAATGTAAAACATATTATTCATTTTAATCTGTAGAAGTGTTTATGGCAACTATGACCACTATACAAATTTAATGAATCATGTGCCATGATCACAGAAGTACACGGCTAATGGGTTTACAGTTGACTGATTTGCATTCGTTACACAGACTGTAGGGCCATATGGAATAAAGTGGAATTGTGCTTCATTTCATCCCACATAATGTGTCAACTTTAAACCAATGTAAATAAGATTTAAAGGTTTGTGACAATGGTACATTAATACAAATTCTGTGTTTCTGGACATTATTCACTGCCCCATTTTTATTAAAAAACATGTTTCAGAAAGTGGATTCTCTCTCTGTCTTCAGGAGACAGGGACTAAGTTCTTTTCTGAAGATGGAGACAGAATCCAGTCCCTGAAACGTTGTGTTTTTAAATAAAAACAGGATGATGGATAATGTCCAGAAACATAGAAAACATTCTGTGGTCAACATGCAGTATTACAGAAGGGGAGACAATTACTAATGCAACTTTCATCAGAAAATAATTCTGAAGACCCAAACTGCATCACTGTAATGAGGCTGGAAAAGAAGTCATGCAAGAACTGTACTAAGAACTAAATCTGGATATGTAATAAAATATACAGTTTTATCCCAAAATTTGCCATCAAAAAGACGGCCATCATGATAAGGTAAATATGGTAGTAATGAGAGCTATTGACATTCAGATTCACCTTGAATTTCAGGGCACAATAAGGGGTAATGGAAGAGTTTGCTTGCATTCATACAGACTTCAATATATCAAAATTTAATAAAGGATCAGGCAGAGAAGACTAATACTAAACATTCTTCCATATCAAATTTGCCTGACAAGTATGTGACAGCAGCTGGATGCATCTGGTACTAACCATGCATTCCCCATGAAGGGCGTGAGAAAGTGTTGCTGGCGGTTGCTGTATTAGTACTGCTGCCACCGTTGTCAAATCCTGGGCCGAGGAGAGATGGATTGTTTTCATCATCTACCCACATGAAGTAGTTACAGCCTTGTCCCTGGGGTTTCCCACATTTGTAGAACTGGCGACCTGAGACATGCATATGAAGAGTTGTTCAAAGTACTTCTGTACATGTACTTGCACCTTAAAAGTGCCAAGAGCCAAAAGTTCTGACTTTATGTGGGTGTGTGTGATGTCTGAATATAAAATTCTGACTTTACAACACTTGACACATCTAAGATCATGTGATATCTATTAGCTAGGGGCCTCTAGTGCTCATTTCCGCACAAGGTGAAGAATGTGAGACAAATCTGCAACACAGTAAACCACTGCTTCTACAAAACACACCTGTTCCCAGTTAGTTATTGGAACCTAATGGGAAAGTCTATTCATTTCTGTTCCTGATAAGCTGTGTTAACAGAAGTTTCTTCCTTAAAACAAATTGATGCCAGGCTTCTACATGTACCAATTCTATGAGGGGTGTTTAAGGAGAGATATGAGGCAGAAAGCGTTGACTGGAAGAAGGGATGTTGCTAGAACCTGCCTCTCTGACTCCAGAAATTCACAAGACCTGGTGTGGTTGTAGTGATTAACCAACTCTTGCAAGTTGGATGTCTATATATATACAGTTACAACATTCAAACAGCCCTATTGGCGGCAACATGAGCATGCATTTGACTGCAAGCTCATAGAAAAATAATAATTGCCTTGCTATCTCTCAGAGGAATTAGCATTACACCTTGACACACTGCAGTACAGTATAAGACTGTTTTCTCATTTGAATATTCACACAAGTGCTACAAGGAATGTTCTATTATCTCCAAGCCAGCTGCTTAGGAGACTTCAATATTGTGCTGCCTAGTAAATCTTGGGCCATAGAAACAAGTGATACTGGAAAATCTGGAATGATCTGGTGATAAAGAAGTGTGCAAATATGAGATAGGTTTCTGATTCTCATCATAGCATCTCTTCTGTGACAAACTCAGAAAATAAGGGAATTTAGGAATGTTGGAGACACTACAAGAACAAAGAGGCTCTGAAGATTGGAACACAGCAGTGACTGGCAATGGAGAAAAGTTCACAATTCTTACAGTTCTATTAAAATTCATTTTTTTTGTGGTAAGTCCTGCATCTGGAGTTTTGACATTATATTCAGAGCATTTAATTATGAATACAACAATTAGCGAAACACACTGATATTATAAGAAATTCACATACACAAAGGGATAAAACAAGACCACAATCCCACATTTTCGACTGGAAAGATTTTGACAATGACAAATCTAATATATTTCGCTGTCCTGATGATTGTTTATGGGAATATATAAAATGTTTACAGTGAAATCATATTATGTGCTTCAAGAGTTCTTTCAAGTTCTGGTACAAATTTACAGCAAATATTCCTGGGAAAAAAAATACTTATTATGATAGTATGAAGCATAAACAAAAAAATACAAATACAGTATACTATCCTAACACCTTTCATAATAGACTGTCTGGTGATGAAGTCAGTAAAGTGGCTTCTGAATTACAAAGATCAGTAGTTCATAGTTCCCTTACTCAGTGGTAGTCTTGAGAATCATGACTTAAAATTTAACATATGTGCAAAATGAGAAAACACTACCATCTCAGGTATTATGTTTAGTTTCCCATTCATGATTTAACAATTCCATTTCTTACTCAATTTAGCACATGTGCAATAATTTGCATAATTAAACGTGGTTACTTCTTACATTTCTGAGGCAGAGTCAGCTGACTGCCATGCCAACATGGGCATTAATATGAGGGTAAGTCAGCAAATAGGTCACAAATGGAAGTAAAACAGCTGTAGTGGATGTAATAGGTTTCCTGTGCGTATCACTAGGTAAGCAGCACAGTCCAGCTTCATGACAGTCAAGGTAGCAGATGCGCATGTGCATATTCAGAGGCTGGTTTCAGTAGTCAAAACACTGACCATGCTTGAGGAGTGTATTACCGAAGAGCAGCATTCTGTTGTGCATTTTCTGTGGGCAAAAGGACTCAAGGCAGAGGATATTATTAAAGAAAGGTTGCATGTTTATGGTTGGAAGTGTGTGTAGCGTAAAACAGTTCAAAACTGGGTAGAGAAATTTTCTCAAAGACATTTGAAAGTTGCAAATGATGCCCAACCAGCTTTACCTGTCTGATTGTGACAGAAGTAACTGTGCAGTGGGTGGAAGAGTTCATTCGAGCTGACAGGAGGATAACGATAGATAGCATAGCAACTGCACTAGTGTGTTCCCATGGTTTAGAATACAGCATACTGAAGTTTCGGGAAGTGTGTGCATGGCAGGTGTCCAGAGAACTGAAGGATCAAGAAAAAATGAACCGAATGAGCCTGTCCTTGCGACATCTCTTATGGCATGCAGATGAAGGAGAAGATATGCATAATAAGACTGTTACTGGTGATGAACTGTGGGTGCATCACTATCAACCAAAACCAAAGATACTTCATCGCAATTGAAACATCCCAGTTAACCTTTCAACAAAAAGTTAAATGTTACACTATCTGCTGGGAATGTTATGCTTAGTGTGTTTTGGCATTTTCAGAAGTGTGGTGAAAATGTGAATTGTGCATCGTACTGTGAGTTCTGTTGAAGTTTTGGGATGCGGTTTGCAGAAAACGTTCAGGCCAACTGGCAAGGGGCGTACTGCTTCATCATGACAATGCCTGACCCCATACAGCCTGAGTAACCCAGAAGGGAATTCAAGAACTGCAGTGGGAACTTTTTGAATATCCGCCTTACAGCCTGGACTTGGCCCCTAGTGACTTCCACTTGTTTAGTCCGCTAAAAAACCACCTTGGCAGCAAACGTTTTGCTGATGACTAGGAAGTTGAAATGGAGGCATGGAAGTGGCTGAGCCAACATTCAAAAGACTTCTTTGCAGCAGGTGCCGATGCACAGGTAAAGAAATGGGAGGTTATCAATGTTGGCGGAGGATATGTTGAGAAATAAATGTTTTTTCCAGGTTCAAATATCACATGTTTTACATTCTGTATACATTTGTAACCTACTTAATGACACGCACGGCTACACCTCTATACTGCTGGAATGGCTCTAGAACTGAAAAGAGTATATGATATACATTACTACAGGCATTAATCACTATTGCAAAGGATCCATTATTGATGTCTGAATGTCAAGATATTTATTTGAAAATAAAAATCTGCCTGCAAGATACACTCCCTGTGTGTGACTGGGATGCCTGTGGTACATGAGAAAATGTGGTAACTATGCTGCAGTAAATATCTTCTCAACATCTGAAAATTTCATATAATTCTGTTCTGCCTAGTTTCTGAAATGCACAGAAATGAGAAAAATCTTGCTACATACTCCTACAGTGTATAACCAGTAGGGATTTAAATTGAAGGGTTAAACCAACCTTTATTAGGCCCCTCTTTTCTCACAGTCAAGAGAAGAGCATCCACGTTGCAGTTGCATACAATTGCATTATCATGCTGGTTGCCATTCTCCAATACACCTGGTGTTCTGATAGCCCCTGATCCAGCAGATGCTCTACTTCCACTGTTCCAGTTATAGGTCTGAACTGAAACCTTAAAGTGAGAGAGATCTACGATAAAAATATACTAAATGCGACCTCCCAAAGACAGATTTCAGGAAAATTGCATGAAGCACAAAATAAAAGCAGCTACAGATTTAAACCATACTCTAATAAATGAAATGGTATTGCTCTCAAACCAATGTTAAATGCCAACAATTTATGCCACTTCTCTTTTCATTTTGCTACTTAGTCTGAGGAATCACTTCAATGGATTCTGTCATAAGCATTTTATTTGATTTTTTAAATTAGGAGAACATGGTAATGAGTGGTACAACTTGTAGCAATGGAAAGCATATCCTAGGTGAGTTTAACTGGCAACCTGTTCACAGTTTACAGCATAAGGGTATAAAAATTAGGTAACAACTGTGGTTAAAGCCATTACTGTGGGTGTAATAAAAACATTTTTATGAATACCTTTAATACACTGTGAACTCACCAGTGTTAAATGGGAAAATTAGTTAATTCTTAACAATCCAGTTTTTATCTAGTGCTTATATCTTTAAAAATGCAGTAAACAGAACTGATTTTCTGATACACTGCATCTCAGATATTTAAGGGCATTTAAAAACCCAGGCCAGCAGCTAGTATACTGGGAGTTCAAATGTCACCTCCTAAACATTAATATGATAAGGCAGTATCCAGACACACCTTTGTGGAGACAAGACCAAGGCCAGCAAATTTATGACACCACCCAATAGCCCCCACAGGCTCATACTGTTTCAATCATGCTAACAGAGATAGTCTTAGAAATGTCAGTAACTTTCAATCAACTGACACAGCTGATAACTTGTGATGATGTTATTAACCCCTCAGCACGGAGTGTCGAGCGCTGCATGTCATGACATCACCACCATCTGCTGTGGAGTGGCGAGCTGTGCTTGTATACTGTGCTGTCTGGCATTTTCTTCTATCTATCGAATATATATTGTCATGCAATTGAGTGACTATAGACGGGGTTTTGGATTCATCATCAGATTTATTGGACACTTTGATACAGTGCGTGTCTACATTTCATTATTCAATATCACACACACACAAACTAGTGTCCACAATCGTCATCGCTAGCTGTTGCTTTGTACCGGCTTCCAATGGTGGACATTTCCCTTCCTCTGGGTTTCCAAACCATCCCCAGCCTCAGCTACCAGCTTCTCGCAACTACAGCTTACAGTGACTGAACCCCAGTAGTTCTCTAACTAACTCAATAATTGACTTCACTAACTCCTCACTGACTGACTGACTGACTGACTGACTCACAAAAACGCAAAATCAAAGTCAAAGTCAGAGTTATGTTAGGACTGACAGTCAGTTGGCCAGTCTATCTTGGTTTCAAGCCGCATTTGGTGCCCAAGCCCAATCTGAACCTCAGCAGTTCTCTAACTAACTTACTAACTCAGTCACTCACCAACCAACTCAACTGACTCTCACTAATTCTCCTGCTTATAAAATCTCAACCCAGACCACACAGAAAACACCATTCCATTATTGGTGTGCAACTGTTGCCATGAGAGCATGCATGTTTGCAAACATGTTATTTAGCAACAGCTATTGTATAGTTGCTTCTTTCACAGTTGTTGCCTAGTAACAGCAATACATGCCACAATACGAATCTATTACATTTTGCCATCAGCAGCATTGTAGATGAAGCTGCCAGTTTCAATGCAATATGTATTACTGACTTGCTAGCTTGAGTTTTACTGTTGTTTTCTCCATATAACTACGATGTAATTGATCAATCTTTACTTTGTGCATACTCCTTTTAGTGGATTTCTCTGTTGAATATGCCTAAAGCAGCACAATTTTAACTTCAGTAGTTCTGCAAATGACATTGCAGGCTTTTTAAATTATATATATATTGTGACGTGTTGCGCAATGGTAATAAGCAGGTCAACATCCCCCCCCCAGCGGTGACGTGCCAAGCAGAGCCGAAGTTAGCCGAGTCCCCGCAATCTGGTAGCTATGCAACGCGAGTCAACAGCGGTGACGTCACCAAGGGATATCGCGGTTGCTAGGCAGTAGTCAACAACTCTGGACAGCGTTGCTAGCAACACCGCACCAGACGACAATGGTCTGGAACGAGGCTACATAAGGAGCAGCAAAGGCTATTCACAGTTAGTTCCGAGCAAGCCTACGAGTCAGTGTGTCATCCACAGTTCTCAAGGTAGCAGCCTGCGAGTCGAGTTGACATATAGCAGCAGTCGCGATAAGAAGACCCGAACGCGTGGTTACAAGATTTTATGTGACAGTGTGCGATAACTAAGAAGTCAGCGAGCGGAAGACTTATTGTGTGCTTTCGAGACTTAGTGAGTGCTGTAGTACAGTTATATTTGGAGTGTGCGGGAGATTTGTATAGCTCCTGCGTTATTAGTGTGAAGAGATTTGGTTGTAGGGTTTGTAAAGTGTGAAACCCGCAACTGTGTTATAATTAATTGTAGCCGTGATTTGTAGGTTGTTAAATAAACCAATTAACGATCTCTACGGCGTATTCAGTAACGAAACATGTTACATTGGTGTCAGAAGTGGGATTTGGACTTACACATGTGACCAACGAGATTCAAACTCAAGATACGTGACAACTGGTGTCAGAAGTGGGATTTGGACTTACACACGTGAGCAACGAGATTCGAACTCAAGACACGTGACAATATTATTTACTTATCTGATCAATTTTTACTATTGTTTTACAAGGTGACATTGATCTTGGAAGCATGTGCGCAGTCTGATTTGTGGTTGCCTCTATCAAATGTGCATGAAGTATGAAGGGCGTTCCGTATATAATGCCTCCTATATTTTTGTGTTAATATGTAACATCTGAGCTGGATGTTGGTGGTGTTGTAGTATAGGTTGAACCTTCCCGCCAATGTACTGTTAGTTTGGTTGTCGTGTGACAGACAGCTAGAGCAGAGCAGTCTACCAAAATGGCGTCTGACATAGAAGTGCATACGAAACAGAGATGTGTTATTGAATTTTTCACTGTGGAACAAATTGCACCCATTGACATCCATCAACGCTTGCTAGAGGTGTACGGAGATGATACAGTGGATGTCAGCACAGTGAGGTGGTGGGTAATGCGTTTCAACAGTGGTGAAAGTGAAGTGCACGACAAGCCACGCCCTGGGCATTCCTGCTCAGTTGCTACTCCTCACAATGAACAGCACCTCAATCAGCTCATCCATACAGATCGGCGAATAATGACCAGAAAGCTGTGTGCACGGCTTAATATCGGCTGTAATGCATTGGAAACCATGTTGGGGAAGCTGGATTATCGCCAAGTTTGTTCCAGGTGGGTCCTGCGGATGCTTACACAGGACCACAAAACTCATCGAATGGAAGTCTGTCAGGACCTGTTGCACCAGTTTGAGGCTGAAGGTGACAATTTCTGGACAGCATCGTCACCGGAGGTAAGACGTGGTGTCACCACTACGAGCCGGAATCCAAAAGACAGTCCATGGAGTGGCGACATCCGGGATTCCCCAAGAAAAAAGAAGTTCAAGACACAGCCATCGGCAGGGAAAGTGATGTGCACGGTCTTTTGGGATAGGTGGGGTGTGATTTTGTTGGATTTCCTGGAGCCTGGTGAGACTGTCAATTCTGAACGCTACAAGACAATGCTGATTAAGCTGAAAGTCCGCATTTCTCGATTCAGGCCACAGAAGCAGACAACCTTTTGCTTGCAACATGATAACGCTAGATCCCATACCAATTTGATGACCATTGCGCACATTGCAAAGTTTGGCTGGTCTGTCCTACCACATCCACCTTATAGCCCCGGTTTAGCACCTTCAGACTTCCATCTCTTTGGGCCTATGAAAGACGGACTATGTGGGCAACATTTTCCAGACAATGATGCTGTCATTGCAGCTGTAAGAAAGTGGCTAGCCTCTGCTGCTGCAGACTTTTACGGGCATAGCATACAGGCTCTTGTTCATCGCTGGCAAAGTGCATAACGAATGGTGGTGATTATGTGGAAAAATAACTGTTAAGTAGCTGAAATCTTGCTCTATTTAAATGTGTTATTATGCTTTCTGTATCTGTTGTAGTTTTCATTAAAAAATAGGAGGCATTATATATGGAACGCTCCTTGTATTATTGTTTTGACTTCGATAGTTCTAACAATGCATGCTTTCAAATAATGTATGACATAAACAGGATGACAGAATGCATTCATTGTGCTTCTCTTGCTTAGACAGTAGGCAGAATTATATTACATAACAGTCTGCTGTGTCACGGTGTCAAGAAATAGAGTGCATTTGTCAGGTGATGATGTTGAGAAAATTCTGCAAGAAACTGACTGACAGTGAAAACCGTTTGATTCAGACAATTCTAGTGTAATTGAAGATTTATCCATTCATGAGCAATTGCGACAGAAGTATGTGAGACTGAATACAGTGATGGTGCGCAAGATTCAACAACTTCTTTGTAGGGTGGGTGGCTATTAAATAAATATTCTTGAAAACTGTTTGGAACTCTGTGCCTGAATAGGGTAGACATTCCAAAAATAGTGATTGAGAAGAAACTGAGGAAAGGGGAAATTATAGCTCAGCATTCTGGCCCCGTATCTGTGCTGAAATGGTGTGACAAAAGAATGTTACTATGATCTCACCATATCATGAGTGGAAGCGAAATCAGAGAGATGTTAGTGCAAGTGCCCCCAACAACTTTTTCTGTTCATGAAGATAAAGGAAATACTGAAAAGGAAGGCATTTTGATGACATTGATGATATCAGGAGTAATACGACGGCAGCTCTGAAGGCCATTCCACAAAATTAGTTCCAAAATTGTTTTGAAGGGTTGACTAGGCACTGGCATCAGTGCATAGTTTCCCAAGGGGAGTACTCTGAAGACGATCACAATGATATTCAGCAATGAGGTATGTAGCACTCTTCCTGTGATGAGTCCGCAAATTATACTGCCAGACCACGTACCTTCTATAAAGAAAAAAGATGAATAAACGGTGCATCACAATTTTCAAACACTCTATACCATAATTCTCAACTCCACTGTTACCTGCAAAGCAAATTCACAAGGGATATGAATTGATCATTTGAAGTTCAGAACTGAGAGCTCTACTTGTTGATGTTAAAAGGAAAGTGCCACGGCGACATTCCATGAACAACACAATGGCTAGACTTCTTGAAAAACATTTCCTAGAGAAGATTCCTCCAACTGCAAGGAAGTCAAAACCAACAAAGAGGTGTGTTGTGTGATATAAGAACAACAAGGGGAAGGAGACAGTGTTTTGTGTCCTGATTGTGAGGTCTGTCTGTGTGTTGAGGGCTGCCTCAAGACCTACCACACCAAGCTCAACTATTAAGGTGAAATCTGTTCAATTTATAAAAAGCTTCAGTGTATAATGAATATTCTTTAAAGTTTCATTAAAATTCCCTAATTATTTGGGAAGTTATGCCCATCTAAAAAAATTTAGCACCACTGAGCAGAAATTTAAATCCCCATACAGAAAATCTTCCCAAAGTTCAACAGTAACTAGGGCTTTAGGTGCCACCATGCTGAGGGTTTAACATTAGCCCCCACAAACGCTCCAGATCGCATAATAACAGTACATGTTTATATATTTACCCCTTCATTGGATTTATTTATAAATATGGAGTATTAAACTTATTGTAAGAAAAGGATGAGAAAATCAGTCATTGGATCAACACAAAACTACAAGCCTTAGTGCCAGCTGAGAAGTGTTTATTGCACTATTTTTCTAGTGTGAAAGCTCCTCTGGGGTCCTGAAACACTATGCTCCCTTGCAGTCATAGAAAAGTACACAGGTGAAGGCCATATCTTTTCACCTAGCCTCTGAGCTGTGAATGAAGAGAAATATGGCAAGATGTATTGGGGCAGTTGTAGCAGCTGCACTGTCAGAGGGAAAGTGAGTGATCCAGTGATTGAGACTAGCTCTTTCTAAGGGGCCCAACTGAGTAGGTTAAACCTTCCCTATACACCTGAAGACGGAGACAGATCCAGTCTCCGAAACGTTGTGGTTTTTTGTCTTTTTTATATACCGGACGATGGGTGAAGTCCAAAATAAGCCAAAAGAAGTACAGTATACACCATCGTCAGAATCCTTTCAAGTCTATCCAAGTGAGCTTTTGTTTAACTAACCCATACACATCCTACAAACCTTATCTCAGTAAGTGGACTTGGCCAAATCTACTGCTCATTTTGTTGAGAATGGCCAGGCCAAAAATTGTGGACAGTACATACCACAATTACTGGAACTGAAGACAAGGTTTTAATTATATTTTCTTTTTCATAGGGCCAAACATATATACATCATTGTTTTTATATATGTTTCCTTTTTGGTGGGTTAACATTTTTAAGATGTATAGGCTAACATTCATGTCATAGTGTATCAAAAGCATAGCAAGCAAGAAAGGTGTAGCTTGCCTGAAGCAGTATGACATACAGATATTTCAAGGTCAGGCACCATGAGATATGAGCTTGCCTGCAGTATCACCAAAGCTGTAAACCAAAAAACGGTAATTCCTCATGAAGAGACATTATGACAAAGCGATGAAGCTGGGAATGGTAAAGACAGTAATTGTGAGAAAGACAGGACATTTTAATATAGTGAAAATTAAAAAGATGACTGAGCGTGACTGATGGAACTGAATAAAGGCTAGTGACTTCAAAATCATGAAGACAGAGACTCATTAAAAAAATGCAATGCAAAACACATTTTTAACAATTTATTATCTTTTACGTTTGCTTGTAGTAACTGCATGAAATTCACAGATCCTATATAAAATCTCTTATGTGCAGACATGATTCTTGGGGGCAAGGATCTTCAATTTGGGTAAATGCAGTGTGTTCACATATTACCTTTGCAGCCATATTCACTGACAGAGACAATGCTATACTACCTCATTATGCTGTGAAGAATTTATGTTCCAAGCTGGTGTTGCTCCTCCATAAACGCTGCCAGTTCCATGAGTACTGCCCCTTCCATGTCCATGTCTCCTCATAGTATCACTTCCCAGCTGTCTGGTTTGCAAGGGAGTAACAGATGAGACAGAACTACTGCAGTTTCTGGACCCATTACTATGATCCAGGCTTCCCAATCCACTGTCAGCTTGTGTACCTGGAAAGAAACTTATTAACTCAATAACAAAAAAGGTATGAACACAAAATACACATAATTTAGCTGTACAAGCAGCTTAAACCAGAGGAGAATTAAGATTTGGCTTGAAGCTTGAGAACTCTGATCTAATTATGTACCTAACTTTTGTCATAGTTAGGATTGCTCATGAGCGCATACTGACATGTTATGTTAATTGATTTTGAAGACAGAGAACTCTGGAAAAGAAAGTGAATCTGAGAAACCATGCATGTAGATTTAGATCACAATTTTTCAATGTCTGGGGTAAAAATAGTCCCATGGCAGATCTTGAAAGCCAAGAGAAAACAAAAAAAAAAAAGTGCTCTGAAAATGAGAATAAATGTAAATACTGGAAGAGTGGCAACACAACACAACACTGTTACCAACTAATGACAAAGGTTCTGCTGTATGCCAAAGACATGGCTACAGAAAATGGCATACATTCTTTACCAATATGCACTACACGACACGTTCAACATTGGTCATATTACATTCTTTTACAACATGAAAGCAAATAAAAAATTACAAATACAGAGACACATATAGGAGAGGAAAAATGAATAAAGACAGATGACTGCTACTCTACAGTAACACAGATGAAAATTATATAAGGAAAACAGCTGTGAGGAAATCTGGAAAGTCATGATGCATAATCATGCATTAACCACATAAATATAAACAACTAACAATTCAAAAAGGTATTTTGAGGGTGGCTGTTGCTTGGAGAGATAAACGGCATGCTGTTTTACCATTGTGCTGCACATATCTATGGGGCCCTGAACACATACAAGCACAACACAAGATCAGGGAAATAAGTTCCGAGACTAATTTTTAATTTTGCACTGGGCAAACTGGCAATGTTAGGTGATGCAAAAAGACAGAGCTTACATGGAAAGTCTGAATAAGCTGCAGTCCATATTTGTTGAACAGTAACTCATTAGATTATTGGTGTCATCAACTTTGTCCAGACGTGAAAATGGAATGGAACAGACAGTGAATGTGAAATTTTGTGCTAAACTGCAGTCGCCAAATAATATATTAGAGTATTATATTTAAGCATCCTGTTGCACTTTACACTTCTATATGTATAATATTGTCACGTATTCGGTGTATATAACGTGACAAATAACTTCATGCATATTGGGTATAGCGAATTTTATGTCACACTCGCTAATACAATCACACAATTCACAGATTCACAATTACTGCTATATGCAGTATTACAATTACTACACTGCAAATGCTAGACTAGCTGGCTGACTCTTAACTCGTAGCTCGAGAACTTCAATACTGGAAATATCTCGTAAATTCGTAACTCAAGAACTTGAGAACTAACTCGTTCACTTGAGAGCTGTGACTGACTCGTAGGCTTGCTCGGAACGAACTCAGAACTAACTGTGAATAGTCTTCGCTGCTCCGTATGTAGCCTCGTTCTGGACAACACAGAAAACAGCCACGTAATAGGCACCAGCAACGCTGTCCGGAGTTGTTTACTGCTGCCTAGCAACTGCGGTATCCCTTGGTGATGTCACCGCTGTTGACTCG